TATTAGGTATATTTTCGAAACCCCATAACGACTAACCTTGTACAAGTGTGAGATTTTTAATTGAAAACATTTGCATTTAGATTAAATGTTCTAGTTTGACACATATGCTCACCGTGAATACAATTTAAATCGTAGCGTGTATTTAGGCGTTTGTTCATTACGCAGCTAGTAGATTAGAAAGATATGCATTCAATTTTTGTTTTTGTTAATAGTAAATAAATAATAAATGTTACAAACCGAAATTGAATTACAAAAATTCAAAGAATATAATTTCTGAGACCAAATCAATGTTGCTTTTCGTTATTCCGACCAACACATGCACGAATCTAATTAAGCGAATTTTTAGTAATTAATCGTATATATAAATATCTTTAGATTTCCATACAAAGAATGAAAATCAAAAACTGGTCAAAATATTTTTATTTAAACTCTTGGTATATACTATGCTACAAAGAACCCGTTTTAAGAAACCAATCAGTTTTTAAATTAATATCTAAAAAAAAAATATAATGTAATTACAGAAATTACTTTGTTCAATACGATTGCGGTCGCACTATATTGGAGTGAAATTTTTATCAATAATTAATGTTTGTTTTATTATATTTTTTTATATTATCCTCAACTCCCTAATTATAGCCAATTAGTGGCTTAAATATGTTGAATAATCAGGCCAATTAAGCTCGAGTGTGCAGTGACATGAAAACACCAATTACACCAACAGAAGCGCATTAATTTATTAAGGATATAACATATATAAATATATTTTTTTAGGCATCTTAATGTTAATAAAAATTAAATTAAGCGATTGAGTGATTTGAAACAAAATATGAAGTAAAGGCTTTTGATTCTTTGCAATATTGCTTTTAATTAATTGCTGTAAATGAAATAATTTAAAAACAGCTGATGAATCGCTCACAATAATGCTGACATTATAAATACATATAAACAATTTTTTTCTAAATGGTGCCAAGCACAGAAATTAGATTTCTGATTAAAATAATAATATGACAACTGGTTTTCCCATAATCGGACCCTGATTCAAAATAGATCCTGAATAGAGAACACCAGGGTTTAAGGATGGGAGACAAATATGTGTGCTTAATTACTTGCTGAACATTTCTTTCTGCATCTATAATGACGCAAATACCATGTTTTGATTTACAGAATTTCCTCTGCTTCCTAAATCAAAGGTAAGACATTAATGACTAATACAGTCCAGTATAAAACGCTATATCTTTGATGTTCGACCATAATATTTTGGAACAAATACACGCTACATTTTTTAGCACTCAAACTACAAACAAATATACTATAAATACGTTAGTAAAAGATAAGTAGATAATGTAATTTTACACGTCAAAAGAAATCGTTGCATACACGAAGGCGTACGGCCGCCATTAAGATAATACTACTGAGCATAAATGGTAAAGAAGAGCAAAAAAAAAAAGCATATCAAACACCAAAGCAAGATACTTTTGCGTGATAAACAAATGTAATTTTATTCGAGAGGCGCGTGTTGGCGGTAGAGCGTCAAAGCGTGGCGTTTTCTCTTTTATGTGATCTCAATGAAAATTAATGTATGAAATAAAAGAAAATACAAAATTCAGAGCACTTAATGATAATGTTGACTATAATGAATACAGTACGTACATATTTATATATGTATATATCTGAGAATGCAGTCATACTTCAAAGACTCTACCAATTCTATGAATTCTGGGAGGAAAATTAATATTCAATGGTATAAACTCAAGTAGGCGATAAGAGGCAAAGAGACAAAATACTTTTGTAGTTGTAGGCGAGACAACGAAAAGAAGTAGCAAAACAAGCCACTAACACTGATTGATGAAATTCAATGACAAATGAAGGCCGCTTGAGGCCTGAGACAAAATATTCGCCAGCTGTAGGATAATTAAAATTTAACGCACCACAAATGAAAGTAAACACAAATTTGACGCCCATCCCACCAAGAACCATTTCAACAGTTTGCTTTTGACGCCGATTGAAATCAAGAATGTGCATAAAGTGATTAATGTGCCTTGCCGTATTTTCGGTATAAGAAAAAAATTGAAACAACCGAGAATAACGGATGCAACTCGAAAACAGTATAACAAAGAAATATATTTACATACATATATAGCAAGGGAAATCACAAAGTAAATCTTTAGGCGAACTGAGAGTTTGAAAATAAAAAAGTCGTTGAAAAATTGCTCATTAATGAAGATGGGTTGAAGCACCAAATTCCTACTTTCGACACAATTTCCTTGTTTACATCACCAATAAAACACGACCAATTGGCGAGAAAATTGGAGGAAGTTTCGAGCGAAAGCACAAAGGAGTGACTAATTGGAGAAAATTTTGAAGCAAGGGTTTGGGAGAATAGACAAAAAATGCATTCAAATAAAAAAAAATAAAATAAACTATAATAACTTAACTTAGAATAAAACTTATTTATTCAATAATCTAAATCCAAATAATATAAAATGAAATTTAATTAAAAAAATTTTAAAAAATTAAAAGGAAAAAAATATAAAATAAGAGAAGACCGTAATAATATTGCAAAAACAATAAATATAAAAATATATATGTATACTGCATATACTGCCATATATAAAAAAAACTTAATGTAAAAGTACATATATAGCGAAGTGGATAGCATTCCGTACTGACATTCGGAAGATCAAGGTTCGATTCCTGGTTTGACCGTAATCCAAAATTATAGAAAATTAATTTCAATAATCGTGGTCGGTGGCTGCTTAGAAGAAACATTAGGTTTAGGTCCCTCCAATTATTGGAACTACATATTACGTAGATGGTGAACCCGAAACCACAAATGATGACGATGGAAAAGACGTTCCATTACTTGACCAAATCGCCCGCTTAAAAAACAACAAAGCGACGGGAGCTGACGGCTACCAGCAGAACTATTCAAACATGGCGGTGAAGAGCTGACAAGGTGCATGCATTAGCTACTTTGCAGAATATGGTCGGACGAAATCATGCCAGACGATTGGAATTTAAGTGTGCTCTGCCCAATTACCTTGGGATAAGCCTCCTTAGTACAGCCTATAAGATCCTGTCGAGCGTATTGTGTGGAAGACTGAAGCCCACCGTCAACAAACCGATTGGATCTTATCAGTGTGGCTTTAGACCTGGTAAGCCAACCATTGACCAGATATCCTCAACGTGCCAAATCTTGGCAAAGACCCGTGAAAAGAGGATCGACACACATGCTTCTTCGTCGATTTTAGAGCAGCCTTCGACAGCACGAAAAGGAGATGCCTTTACCCCGCTGTGTCTGAATTTGGTATCCCCGCAAAACTTATACGGCTTACACAGCCCCTGACGCTAGACAACACCAGAAGCGCCATTCAATACCAAACGAGGTTTTAGACAGGGTAACTCCTTGTCGTGTGATTTCTTCAATTTGATGCTGGAGAGAATAATAAGAGCTGTAGAGCTGAATAGAGAAGGTACAATCTTCTATAAGAGTGTACAACTACTGGTGTATGCCGATGATATTGACATCATAGGCCTCAAAATCCGCGCCGTCAGTTGGAAGCATGGACGATGACAACATCTGATGAGTCGGCGTTAGAAGTTTTCGAGTGAAAGGTTTTGCGTAAGATTTATGGTCCTTTGCGCATTGGCAACAGCGAATATCGCAGAAGATGGAACGATGAGCTGTACGAGTTGTACGGCGACATTGACATAGTCCAGCGAATCAAGAAGCAGCGGCTACGCTGGCTAGGTGCTCCAACTTTGAACGTCTTATATGCAGTACTCGCCGGTGGAAGCAGGGGAAATCGAAGACCTTCACTTTCAGGACATGGCTGTAAATTGTAATTGGCGCCAAATAGCAAAAAGAAGAAACGAATGGCGCAATGTTGTTAAATCGGCCAAAAAGCGGTGTCTGCGCCAGTAAAGTAAGCAAGTAACCACATATTACGCAGACAACTGTTAATAGTAAAATATATCTGCCCATATTGAACTCCTTATCAGCCCGGCGGCGTCGAACTGTCTAAAAAGTTTTCAAATGCTTTTTTTACAGAATATCTTTCCATTAATTGTGTGGGTATTTAGTTTTCTGTTTAATATTTTTTCTCATTTTCACACAGAAAATGTGTTTAATTAGGTAAATTTATGTAGAATCACGCACGATTTATGGAGAGACTAATATAAAATCAACGAATTGAAATCCAAGAATACAAATTTGTTTGGCCTTTCTCCTAATAATCTTTAAAGAAGAAAACTTGGCACAGTATGTAGTTATTGTAGCTTTTATTTCATGACAGAAATACACTTGGAGGTGTTGACATTGCCTGCCGAGGGGCGACCGCAATCATGTTAAATTTCCTATTTGAATTAATTTTCTACAATTTTGGATATTGGTCGGACGAGAACTCGTGCACTGGCTTTCTAATGAACAAAACTTGATTGGAGAGAACTCAGTAAAGCGATTTTTATTACCTGACCAGTCTACAAATATTTGCATAAATTACATCAGCTTTTTTTTTTAAACTGAGATTTGGAGGAACATTTGAATATGAATTTCTTTTTAAGATTAAATCACAAGAGACCTATAAACATTTGTAACAACACTACTTCCTTTGACTCTACAGCACCTCCAGCTGAATAAATAACGAAAAATATATATAATATAATAAATACTCCTAGATATGAGCACAAAACAATTATAATATTTTTTGGAAATTTTTCTAATTTTAAAAACGAATTTTCTACTATTTTAGCTGAAAAAGTGGGATATTACACACAAAGGGGTTTACTGCGTGATTTACGGAAGAAATTTATTTGTGCAACCTTATACTCTTGCTGTAAGTATCTTATATTCGACTATGTATATACCAATCAAAAAGACTTTGGACACCTTTCCAGGAATTAGTCCTACACTAGCCTTGCATACAAAGTAATTAAATTTCTCACACAATTACAATTATTTTCTATCACTTCTTAAATTTATATGTAATAATTTCGCTCACCATTAGCCCGTATCGTTGACACAATCAGCGATGCTCCCACAAACGTGGCCCTTTGCAGAGGCAAATACTGCAGCAGTCCATTAATGAGCAGCAGCCACCAGAGGCAACAGCCTATTAATCCCATGGCGGGACTTTATCTGTGCGTGTGTATATGAATATGTTTGTCTGTAGAGCGGCGAACAAGAGGAATGTGCAACAATTACAAGTACTAGAACGCGTGTTGATGTCGTTGGCTGAACGAATTGTGTAAATTTTTTATTTTAATGATAACTCTCCTTTGATGTTGTTTATTTTTAATATATTTATTTCACTCTCTGTTGGCGCTTATGTACTGATGTGGTTTTTGGTATCGGCCTTAAGTGGAATTAATTTTTTTTTTTTGGCAAAAAAATTGTAAAGGCAAAAAAGATCAAAAAGCCTAACGTGGATTGCGCTTTTTTAATTCAATTTTTTGTTTTGGTTGATTTTCGCTTAAAAGTCGACACTGTTATGACAGTGATTTCACGTCTGGATGCTTGTGCGCCTGCAGATATGCAGAGTTTTTTGTTTTTTAGTGTTTGTTGTTTTTGGACACCCTGTTCTATTGTATATTTTTACACTGACACCATAGTAGAGTATATTGTTTTGTTAATTATTTGCGCGCCACAAAGTATGCTATTAAATACTTTTTGTTTTTATATTTGCTTTTTTAGGTTATGTTTTCTCTATTTTTTCTTTATTTAATTATAATTTTTACATAGTACCATTTGACAATTTGCTGCTTATTTACACCCACATTTATTTGCTGCTGCATTAAAATATATTTATTTACAATTTCATATTTATCTACTTATTTCATATCCAATAATAATTAAATTGAATATTTATATTAATCATAAATGAAAAGGTGAATATGCAACTGTATGTGGATTCCACTTGGCCATGTGCCATTCCAAAAAAAATTTAAACTTAATCAATTTGACGGCGTTTAATTGATTGAAAACATTAAAGCATTTTGCTGCAAAAAATTAAATATAAATAAATATTTGCAAGCAAAAGTAAATAAACAAAACAAAAAAAGTTAACTAAACAATTAACGCTTTATAACATTTCAGCGATTTCAGTTGTTGTGCTCAAAAATATCTGACCCACAGTCTAAGCGTAAGCTCGCAACTTAATCTCTGGTACCATCTTCTGGTGTTTTTGGTGTTTACTTATCAGATTTTGTATTGCATTTAATCCTTGCACTTTAAATTTAAAATTCTTTACTTTATATGTATTTTTGAAATGGAAAATGTACAATTACATTTTAGTATATTTTCACCAACACATATGCATTGTATTACATTTTGCCCTGCGTTCATTATTTATGCTGCTTATTTTGAGTTAATAACATGCGTAAAATTATTTTTTCTAATTAATCGATCAATTGAATATTTTTAATTAACTTCAACCAACAAGCAAAAGCTAATTAGCTCTTATATATATACATACACACGTATTTATACACATTTATGTATATAATTAGGGCTTTGTAAACGCAGAAGCGTTTTTCGGCCGAGCTCCTCCTCCGATTTGTGGTGTTCCTTTTGATGTACCAACATTACCTGCCGAGGGACAAACGCAATTAGAGGATTTAATTTAACATTTATTTCGATTAAATCTCTATAATTCTTAGTTGTTGGCCTGACCAGGACTCGAACGCTGATTTTCCGAATGGCAGTACGCTCTCAACAATCACTCGGCTTATAAAAATGTCGTCAGAAGCTAAATGACCATACAACATTGATTAAAAAGTTAATTATGTTTACGCATGGCAAAAAAAAAAACAACTGCATACTTATTCAACGGCGACTGTGGCTTATTTGTTGGATAGCCAATGGTCAGTTCTGGCTCCTCTAAATGACTGTACTTTGAGGCAGCTTTCTCAATAAGAGACTTAGTGAGCTCCATACGTTGGGGCACTTATCTCAATCTGTACAAACCTCATATAAATCTCTTCCAACAATTTCCTAAACTATCATTATCATATATGCACATACTCGAACGTGTGCAGAGTACCAAATCCCTGTTTAAATGTACTAAGTGCGGTTGAAAGATCTTTAAATCCAAGGGATAGTTTGCCTACACACAGACGGACAAATCAACTCAGCTCATCATTCTTATCATATCGGTTTAAATTTTATGAGTCTGATGGATTTATTGCTTATTGTCATTCTGGTTCGACCAGCATTCAAAATTATTGAAAACTAATGTCGAAATTCAAGGTGGCTTGAAATAAATGGCAGGTCCCTTTTTTTTATATAATTGACGAGTTGTAAACGCTGGCGGGATATTTGGCCGAGCTCCTCCTCCAATTTGAGGTTTTGTGTATTGTTGTTTTTCCACGAAATGGAGGCATCTACAGTTTATACTTAGCAGCCTCCGAAAGTCTGATGTGTTGTTATGGAGGGGTTGACATTCCCTGCCGAGAGGCCACCCCAATTAGGAAATTCAACTTAATTTAACTTAATTTTTTTAGTATATTTTAAATTAATTTTCTATAACTTTTGGATGTTGGTTGTACCGAGATTCGAATCCGGCGGCCGTAACGAATGACAGTAAAATGCTAACCACTCGGTTACCCTTCACTTGTTGAAAAAAACCTCAAGACGCAAACCCCAAATTTAAGTCGGTCGGTTTAATCGGTCGAAAGTCGCTCAGCAGTTACAAAGCGCCAATTAACGATTCTATTAGCTTTCATTTATTCTTTATGCCAAAGTAAATTTACCATTTAATGTAAGACGTAAAAAATAAATGAAAGCTAATAATATCGATGAGTCTTAACCTTTGAAGCCGTGATTTGCAGTTTGAAAGTACGTAAATACTTATGTAGTCACATAAACAAACATAAATATGTGTATACATATGTATATGGGGGTATAAATAGCGATATATGTATGTCTTATGGCTTAACTAGTTTTGTCCTATTTTGTTCTTATGCTTGGTTGCTGTTCGACCTAAAGACACAACCAACTTCGAAAGCAACATTTGCGCCTACATATCAACAAAACGCTGTAAGGAGCGTAAAAGTTGTGGTACGAACAAACATATTTATCACAGAAATATAAACATGGATATCATCTGGAGCAGACATCACTTTCGCTTGGCAGCCACAATTAATAATAATGAGCAGCTGCGAGATTGGCAAGTCGAGGGTGGGAAGGGAAATGGCAAACAAATTTCGTAAAGAATAATAAAGTGGAGGAGGATAAGATGAAAGAAGTGCAAAGAAGGACTCGTCATAATATAGTTACCGAGTCTGTTAAGTTGTGTGCAATTGACGGTAAAGACCAATACAACGCGCCACATTTACGGCTGCAAGTGAGTGGAGAAAAAGTTAAGTGAGAAATAAATAAATAATGAAATGGAATCATTATGAAATATTTTCATAAATACGGAAATTGGTTTTTGATGGAAATGAACAGGCCTGGAAAGTAGATATTGCGAAATAAAATTGCAAAGGAAGTAAAAGGATACCAAGTAATGACAGAAAATAAAACGCTTATTAAACTGATTGAGATAATTAAACAATCATAGGGAAAACAACAACAACAAAAGTACTAATAAATACTGTTTAATTTTCAATTACCAAAAAAAAAACATTGTTCTCTCTTTTCTCAAGGAAGATTAGGCGGAGAAGGACCGGAGTGGACCGACGATATGTAAAATTCACGTAGAATGCATAGACGTTTAGACAAACAGACCAACGGAATTTATTCGCATACACACAGCTTTTTGCGCGAGAGCAAATAGACGAACAGGGTTTCAGTAAGCCATGTAGTAGATGGTGGATTTGGCAAAAAACCTATGCAACAACGACTGCCAGCACGCGTTTTTGCAAACAAACAAGTCCAGTGTGCATATATGTATGACCCCCAAGGCAGACGTACATATGTGTGTATATTTGTGCACTTAAAGTTAAATAAAATATATAAAGAGTCCGCTGTGGCATTATTTTGGAGACTTTTAGCATTCAGTTATGTTATTTAACAGAAGCTCTCTTTGTTTGGGAAGCGTGCGCGCCCAAAAGTATACAGCGAGTGAGCAACGCAAGTAGATAAAAGCTCAATTACTTAGCATGTCTATGCGCGACACCACAACTATACATTGTTTGTGTGTTTGCAGCATTCTTTCTTTCTTTGAGAACGTCGCCACTGGCATTCGCAGAAGCAGTCTATGTATGAAGCGTAAACAAGTAATAACGCGCGTGTTGCCTACAATCCGGCAACAAGGCGCGGCACATACTTTTGTGGTATTTGTCAAAGCCAAACTTCTTTCTAAATTTCTCGGCAAATATTATTTATTTATTTTCTTTAATTACTTGATTTTTTCGGTAGCCTGTTCGTGCGCCTAAAAACGGCTGAGAGCTGAAGAGGCACAAAAATTTTTGCATCAACGATTTATATATATTTTAAATTTATCTGATATTTCAATATCAATAGTAAAAAAATATTTTTCGAGAAGATTTTTTGATTTATATCAGAATCATTATCAGAAGAAGACGAACTCAATCAATCTTTTTTCTATTAAAAATAAAAATTTTTTTAAATGTTTATCAGACCAAGACTCCAACGGTTTTCTGTTTAAACGAATATTTCAAAAATATCCAACAAAGTTTCAAAATTCTCTGTTGGCCAAAAACTACTAAAATCATTTGTGTGAATAGTAAACATGTTTTAATAAATAATTAAACTTTCAAAAAAAGAAATATATAAAAACAATTCACAAATTTCGCAGCATATATTTTGTAATATTATTAATATAATTATTTAGTATATTTTCCATTTTTTTTTTTTGTTAAAAATAATAAAGAGATCCTTCTTTGTTGGAGCTAAAAAGTATTATTATTTATCTGATTTTTGGTTTCTTTTTCGAAACCTTTTCTTGATAAAGACTCTAGCCTTTAACGGCAATATTTATTTATGTTTGTTCCAGTTTTAAATTTTTTACTTTTAAAATTTCCTAATGATTGCTTATGGGAGCTCAAGATCCCATACTTGTCTTCTTACTTTTTGCTTTTGTTTGAGTTTTATACATATCACTTTTTGAGTTTGGCTTGTGGAATTTGACACATTTCCGATTTTTATTCAAGAATTTTTAAATTATTTAATTTTAGTTATACAATTAATTTTTATTACTCTTCATCTCATTGTCCCATTTGCAGCACATATATTTTCGCACAAATCCTGCCAATTCACTGAAACAGCATGAGTACTACAATGTTTGTTGACATAAACACACGCGGATACGCATGCCCCAATAACACAAAAGGATACGTGGTAATGACTTTGCTGACACTGGCAAGCTATCGGATTTTCACAAAAGACACAATTCCACGGCGTGTCATATGGTTTGCGATTTCATATTTGAGTATTTTGAAAAATTTGTTTTTTATATTTTGTAGCTTATCTTTTGCACGTTCATATTTCGTTAGTCAATAGTGAGATGGACAGAATTTTTAAGATAATATTCTTTTGGAAATCCTCGATATTCGAAAATCGTGAGAATTTTTCACCCGTTTCACACGTCCGTTTCAATTAAAAGTTCGCTGTTAACTAAATGTTACAAGAAATCAAACAACAACATTCGCAGCATCAGTGGCAGCATCCAACTGACCAACAAATGAAGCAAATAAACAACAATGCAACCCCACCGAACAGTCAAATCGTCAGCGCAGAAAGTACGGATGCTGATGGAGAAGCAGAGAAGAGCGAAATAAGTCTACAAGAGTATTAAGAGTCTACGGTGGCTGAGAATTTCTGTGAGTGTGTGAATTTATGAGCGGACGAGAGAGACCGAACGCGATGCTGTTGTATTTCAACGCTACACGAGCGGATATCTGCAAATGAGAGCATCAACAAATGATAAGAGGAGACTACTCTACAACGTTAACAGCAAGCAAACAAACCCACTACGACTAAAATACTTGCATGTGAAAATTCACATTGAAAATCCCAGATGAAAGAAGTCGCTGGCGTTCAAGAAGTATGCCTGCCGTATGAGTGACGGAGCAAGAATAGTTCATGAATATGTGCAATGGAGCTGGATTAATGCATTAGTATAAATTCGACACAATAATATTTGAAATGTTTTCTTTATTTCAAATTGAAAATATAGTACACATATAAATGCAAATATATGTATGTATGTGCAAGTTCAGGTAATTAGAGGTTCATTTAAACTGCTTTTTCACGCCACTTATATTGATGTTGTTTGCATCAATACAATTTCTACTGGGACTCTGATGCACATATGAATATATACCTACCTACCTAAATATGTATCATACATATGAATTCCTTATCAATTCAAGTGCAGGCACGAGCCGAATGTGTCGCCGATGCTGGAGAAACTTTGTTTTGTTGATAGTCGATTGTTTAGTGGGATACTTGTTGTTGTTGAGATATTATTGTTGTTTTTCTACTCATGTTTCTATTGTGTGGCTGCTGCGCATATTGTTCATTGTTTCAACTATTGCCACAGTTTCTTTTTTTCTTTTTGGGTGAGCGTTTGTTTCCTCTGTCTGCAGCCTTTTTATCTTAAAAGAGCATAATACATATGCAAGCCGCGCTCTATAGAGGAACCATTCATCGGAATTTTCTCTTTTATTTGTTGGTTTATCTGACTATAAGATGAATATACGCAAATGTACTGCAAATAAATTTGTGTCATGACATAAAAAATATTTATATGCAGAAATGACAACTGATAACGCGTTATAAATATATGTAATGAAATTATATCATGCTAGAAAAATATCCAATTAAATAAAGTCAATAAAAGAATTTAATAAAGAGAAAAAATAAAATAACATAAAAAAATTAAACGAAATGTAATATATTAAAATGAAATAAGGCAAAAAAAATAAAATAAAAAATAAACAAAATAAAATAAAATCAAACAAAGTAATATAAAATGAAGTCAAAGTAATAAGCCCAACGGTTACACTGCTCCTTCCCAGCAGACACGAGGATGGCGCCCCATGGAAAGCAAGAGTTTGTTAAGCTTCATCTACTGAAATATTGATTATGCTAACCATGAAATTTGGTAAGCTACTTAATAAGAGAGGTTAGTTTTGTTCTTTTTCGTTACGGAAGGTGAGTCTGTTAAATCAAATGTGCCGGAAAACCACTTGCAATATTGGCATATACGGAGAAAACCTGTTTTACTACATTTTAAAAATAATAATCGGATAAGGACATTAAAGCTTACTTCGCCAAAAAGAAATGAACGGCAAATCAGTCCATTCAGAAGTTGAAGTAGAACAAATTAAAATAAAATAAAATGTAATTAAATTAACTTGAATAAAATAAAACAAACCAAAATAAATAAAGTAAAATAAAATAATATAAAATCATATCAAATAAAAAAATATAAAAAATAAAAATAAAATTATTCAAATTAAATAAAATAAAATAAAAAATACAATAAAACTAAATTGAATTCTATTTAATTTAATAAAAAAATATCAAACGAAATATAATAAATAAAAATGAAATAAAATAAAATTTAATTAAGTTAAATAAAAAAAATAAAATAAAATGGATTAGATTTTTGAGTGAAATAAAAATTAAATGAAATAAAATTAATTTAATGTTTTTTCTTTAAACATCTCCTGTATATAACAGAAATTTTGATAACGAAGTTAGATGACTACGTTAAGAGTGCATTGACCACAGCAGTGCCTGCCGAATGATAAGAATGGCAATAGCAATGCAAATTAGCTATTTTTTGGTTTCTCAGCCAGATTTTATTGTCTAACAACAAATTATATAAACTCACTGGGCGCAGTGTGTCGATATCGGCAAAACAAAGAACATTATTTTCCGAAGTAATAATTTCGTATCTCTTTCTTAACATTAACTTATACATTTATTAAAGATATAATTTTTAATTTCTTCTTAGGAAAGAATTTATGTATAAATTTTTCTAAAATTTCGTAGTTGAAAAATAGTTCAAGGGTTGGCATGGATAATATACATGTCGCCGGCCTCGGTTTCACCAGCCCCAGCGAGCAGTTTGCACGAGTTCAACGCTGGTACTACTTCCAGTGCTTCGAAAGGATTTTTCCAGGGAAGTTGAAATCAACGACCAAATTTAGATTAATTTTAGGCCATAAGCGATGGAAATTTGTATTTAATATTATATAATTATCTTTTAGTCTGCCGATTTTTGTGAATTATGGGAAATTTCACATAATTAAATATTATTAGTATTCAACCCACTACATAAATAGCTTAAACTGTTCATAAACCAAAAAAAATATTTTCGTGAAAAAACAAAGTAAATGGTGTTTGCCATTGCAAAAGAAATGGTCGTAAATACCAAAGAGTAGTCAGAGCATCTATCATTATTGTCACCAAAAGTTAACGGTGATGAAAAATATATTGTACTATGATAAAATTCGAATGAGTTTATTATTCACATTAGAATTTCACTTGAACGAAATTTCCACTTTTCCACTTTTCCATTTACCCACTACCTTTGTCTTACCTTGGCATTAGCATTTCACTTAAGCGCGAAAAAAACTACAACTACTACAATTCGGTGTGCAAATACATGCATGTATGAGCGAATAAATTTGTATAATATATGCGAATATTTACAAACAAATTTAAGAAAGTATAGCACAAATAAGGCAAGCAAACACAGCACTAAGTGGTAAGGATAATGTTGCATAAGAATAACAGCAACATGGTAGAATGCAAGGCAGGAATGCAGTGTCGAAGGGTGAGAAGGCACCGAACGCAGTGGAGAGATGTCGGGAAAAAGAAAAGAAATTGTTTTCACATTAGGATATCCGTTTTTAATCATCATTCGATGCGCAGCAGTGCGACATATATAACCATAAAAGAGGATGAATATGTAGGCTGACAGACAGGAGGGTTTTGTAGAGTATTAAAATTTCTTTAACACCAAATATTCCTAAATTCGAAAATGTAGACGACAGTAAAATAAATTGTAGTTTTATGGGAAACAGCTGATAAGATATTTCCCGTGACACCAAATATTGTAATATATATTAAAAAATAAGTAAAATTATCCAACGGCTTTTTGAACACTCAAATAGTTCGAAAAGCTTAAAGAGCTGGATATTCCATTATTATTCGAAAAATATGACTTTAATTACCTAGATTTTAGCTTTTTTTTTTAATAGTACTCGAGCATGAATAAAGTGCCAAAAGTTGGCTTGAGGACGATTCGGAGATGTTAGTGTAGGAAAAACTGCTCATTGGCAGGTTAGTTTCAAATTCTGTTACAGAAGATTGGAACAAAAATTCTCTAGTCGATTGAATGCGGCAACAAAACAATCTTAATTATAATCTAATGCTTAGCGGTCACCCCAATGTGCACAGCTTTCGGTTTAACGAATTTTCGATGTGTGCATGCTACACAGGCGTTGAGTATGGCATATATGCTCATGTGAGGTCATGCAAAGCGTGAAAAAAGCTGGAAATGCAAACATTCATTTTCTTCACGCTTTACTTTACATTATGACGTGGCAAAATAAACAAATGCTTTTACACACCCACACTCACACGTTGGCGGTTAGGTACATGCAAGGCAAACTTATTCGCATATAATATGAATACATACAATATACATATATATGTGTACACGTATATACAAGTAACAAAGTAAGATTCAAACAAAAGCGGAACACACTCACATTGAACTTGCACGATTATACATCATGTCTACATACATATGCATATACACTTGTGTACATGAAAGGCGTGAAAATGAAGAAATGCATTACCATTACGCCTTGTAGCCTACTTTTTGGCGTTTAAGCTTAGCCTCCTCACTTGGTAATGTCGAGTAGCAAGTAAGTGCAAGTATACGTTTCTGTTGTTGCAGATAACCGAAATGCATGTTTTTGTTTATGTTTACATGCACTTGCACATACACATACATATGAGCATACATATGAATATATATTTGGCATCTCTTTGTAGCGTAAAAATTATTTGTCAAGTTCATTGGTTGCTGCGCGTCAAGTGTGTGCAATGAAGCTGAAAATTTCAGATGCACATTTACATATGCACATACACGAATACATGTATACTTGTATATGACAATAAGAAAGAGTTGCATAAGCGCAACGTTAGTGACAGTGGAGTCTGCGACCGGGAAAGTGTGCCAATGTTATACATACAAGTACATACACACATACATATATAAATTATACACACAAATTTATATTTGCACTAAGCCTTACATTTCTGCTGTTTGCTCTTTGTGGGTAAAAAAAGTCTCATTCCTGCAACGGTTGGAAGCGCAAGAATTCAATAGAAGTTTGCGCGGTATGCAAAGCTTTCCCCAATTTAGAGACGATTTAACGAATATTTTGTATTAAAAATTTCCTTTAAATACACAAACTTCTTAACGAAGTCAATTCTTATCTTTTCTGTAAGCATTGAGTGAGTTTAGATTTGGTTTTGCGTATCAAAAGATAATTCAATTTGCCATTTCGACACTTAATATTGTAAAAATGGTTTTTTTGTGTCCAATGCTTTCTTGTGCATATGTCGTCATTTTATTTTAATAGCTTTTTTGTATTAATATTGCGCTTAACCACATAT